TGTTATCTCAGTTAACCCAACGTGTACCCAAGTAACCAACGTGTACGCACGTGTAAAGCCAACGTGTAAAAACGTGTAACGCCACGTGTAACCAAGTGTAAACAACGTGTAACCCCACGTGTAACCCAACATGCTGCGGCTTTGTTGCAGGCGGCGCTGTGCTGCTGGTGGGGCTTGGCGATCGCGGCGGTGGACCTGGCGTTCCCTGTTGCTCCCCCGGCAACGGCTTCTCCACCATCTCTCGAGGTGACTACGATAACGCCGTACGCGCCACATCATCGATCGGAGGAGAGCCAGACACGCGCAACAAGAAAAGAAGCCCGGGCCACGGCAGCGCAGCCTCGGAGCCCGCGGGCGCGGGGACTTGGGTCGGATCTCAGTGAGAGCGCATGCTACCCCCCGCCAGGAACAATCTGCTCGTTGATAATGGGAACGTGTGAGAAAAACAAATTTTTTTAGCAGAGGAAGGAAAAACTCGGTTTGATGTAATTAATGTATAGTTGGCGCAAGTTGAGCATTGTAATATTGACAAGTTGCGTGTATATATATATATATATATATATAATTAATAGTATATATTATATATATATATATAGTATACGCGAGAGCTGCATCACGCGTGCGTGCACCTGCATTTACCGCTTCAGTAACTTATAACTCGAGGTCATGTAACCTTTATCAAGGGTCACTTTAGGAGTTCCGATTTTGTATCCTAGGCCCGAGGTATGAAATTATGATGATGATAGTGAGGGGTGAAAGGAAATTAACACCTACGGCTACACAACATGACCATAGCTCGAGGCGTGACTCGAAACCGTGATCTCTGGTCCGGACCAGCTACACAACACTGCTGATTGTGCGATCCTCAGCTTATATCGGCTAAATATTTATGTTATTGAAAATTTTTTCGCTGAAAACAACTAACAAAATCCTCGCTTGTGGCTCTTACACATACGAGATAAATTAATCATAATAAATTGAAAGGTCACTTCTGATTTTATATTTCATTTTAAGACTGCATTGCTAGTTTTGGACATTATCATTAGAAACTAAAGACAAGAAATCTAATTATTTAAACCAAAATGTAATATCGTCAAATGGGGATTGTCATTACAACGACGAAATACTAGTGATGCGATACCATCGATGACAAATATCGTATTTACAAAACACCATATCAATAATTAAAAAATTATAAATAATAATAATAAAAAGTAATAATAATAAATAATAAAAACCATAGCTGTTTTAAACATAAGAGTTTTAAAGCTGATTTGTAAATTCTAACATTAAATTCTGCGCGAACAAACTCTAATTTAACAGTGAACATCAGGTAATTATAAATTAATACAGGAATACATCGTAAAAGTGTAAAATGCCGTCCTCCATGTGCGTTTGCATATACGGTAACTAATGAGTTTGTATATACAATAATGCAACATTTACAGACTAAATAGAGAACTAAAAATAATAGACCGTCAGTATCGTAAATTACTCTGGAAGAGAAATTGATAATTTCTTGCTAACAGGCAGTGGGTTTTAACTAAAGGTCAATCAATATTCATTCATCGTAAATCTAAGAATGAGAGAAAAATAATAAATAAATAAAATTTTTATTATAATGACCAAAGTCTTTGTTATTTCAAGACATTAAAATTAACCCGCCACATCATCATCGAGGAGAGCCACGACACGCGCAACAAGAAGAAGAAGCCCGTGGGCCCAGCGGGCAGCCGCAGCCTCGAGGAGCCCGCGGGCGCGGGACTGGGTTCCCGGATCCTCAGGTGAGAGCGCATGCTACCCCCCGCCAGGAGACAATACATCCTCGTTGGCGATAGGGAACGTGTGAGAAAAACAAATTTTTACAGGAGGAAGGAAAAACTCCGTTTGATGGTAATAATGTATAGTTGGCCAAGTTTGAGCATTTATATATGCAAGTTGCGTATATATATATATATATATATATATATATA